AGTGGGTACTCTCTGATTTATTTTATTTATTTTTTTGAGTGTTTACCCCAGGCTTTGCATCTCTCTCTCTGTGTTACTTAGGAAAACGATCCAGTGGAAATGTGTTACCATAATGCCTTTATTTCTATTTTAAGCTGAGAAAATCCAACCAAGGCCAGAACAGTTGCTGGTGGGTAATTCTGGTGAGATGCAGCACAGGGGAACCGAGGCACTGGATTTTCAGTGCTTGATTTTGGGACGTCTGGGGTTTGTTTGTTCTAAATTCATTCTCAGGACTCAGTGCCCTCATTCTGAAGGTTTTGAAAAGTCTTAGGAAAAAATGGGAGAGAAATTGAGCATCTGTAGCAGAGAGAGAGATAAACCCCTGGTAGGGAAAGGCCCAAACAGCACAGGGAAGACACAGCACTCCAACAACTATGTTTGTCTACCAAACACCCTCCTCAGCTAAATCCTCCCTTTCCTGCTGCAGTATTTGGAGTATTTAATGTTTGGGAAACACATGAGCTCTGTTGTAGGTTAACATAAATGTTGAAGATGATACAACTTTTATTAATGCTTTGATGAATTTTTAATTTTTTTATTAATGCTTTTATTAAATTTTTAACTAATGTTTAAGTCACTTCCCCAAATCTTTTGGAAAAAGAGAGTGGGTGGGCAGCGTGGGCTCCCTGGGTTTTCTGAAGGCTGTAAAAATTAGACTTGAAGAAACAGTTTGCAGTGTCACCTCCCGTCTTAGAGCTTCTTTTCCTCTGCTTTTTTTAAAGGATATTATTTTTATATGCTTTGAAGAGGACAGTTTGAATCCCTCTGATTTCAGTTTTCAAGAACCTCCCCATAATCCATGGGAACTTGCTGAATTTCTGTGTGGATCATCTCACCCCATTTGCCCTCAGCTCCACCCCCTCCCTGCTACCACTCCAGGCTGGGATATGGCAGCAGCTGGAAATGGCTCTTTCACTTCAGGAGAGGTTTAAACAAATCTCACCTTCATTTTAATACTATCAGCTGAAGGTGCAGACCCAGCAGCCTGGCAGGAGGGAATCGCCTCCTTATTTTATGCCACCCCTCAGGACCATCCTGAGATTGCCAAATTACAGCAGAGATTTCCTAGGAACCAATTAAATTGGGCTCACTTTTAAAGAGATCCAGCTATGGTAACTTTATAATTGAGCCATTTTGTTCTGCTCTCAATCAGCTTCAAAAGGAAGGACAAATTGCTCAGGTTGCAGTTTAAAATCTGACAATAATAAGCAAACATTAGAGCTTGGTTGGATCTGCTCCCAATCCCATATAATAACTTCCTTGGAAGGGTGGTTTGAGACATACAGGAATGCCTGGGGGCTGAGAACTTGATTTTGTTCTCCTCACAAGTCCTGTGATCCGCAATCTCTCACTATATATCAGAGGGTGCTTGGCAGCTTCTCTTGACTAACCATGAGTGTCATCCCATCCTTCAGGTGAGAGGAGCAGGGAGCGTGGCCAGGCTGAGCTGAGGCACCAGTGCATGGCCATCCATGTTCCATAAATCATAGGGGTTGATAAAAGCTGCAGATTCCTCACTCCAGGTGTACAGTAGCACCAGGGTTTCTGTTCCACAGTCAGATCTCATGAGATCTCTCTTATCCTTCCCACAAAGTGGTTCTTCCATTGCAAGTGTTGCTCCCATGTATCCTGAAGAAAATAGGATGGAGGAGAGTCATTGGGTGGAGTTTGGAGCTTGGATGGGAAAACTGTTGTAGAGAGCTGAGAGGGATAGGGAAGGGTCACTGCAGGAAGAGGAACAGAGGCAGGACATCATTGCATTCCTACGGCACTTTTCTGGCAGATCCCTGAGAGTCCCTTTCCTCTTCCATGTTTAGAGCTCCAAAGATTGGGTTTGGTACCTAGTAACACTTTAGCACCTTTTGAGGATCTCAAAGCAGATATTAATTAAGCTCCCAAGCACTTTTGGGAAGGCAGTAAACAGCCCAGTTGCCACTTTATAGGAAGGAAATGACCAGCCAAGGTCATCCACTGAAGCCGAGCTTGGAATAGCATGGAGGTGATAAAACGGGGATGACACAGCTGGCTTTTTCCAAAGAGAGATGGCCCAAAATAAGAGCTCACCTGAACTTCTATTCAAATTTGAGAGGAAAAAATGTGCAAAACAATTCATAAGAATTTATCCATCTATACCACAAAATCTCCTTTATATTTTCCAGCCCTAAATCTGATCCCTCTCACTCCATCCAAGACGGGACCTGTGCTTGATGAATAAACACAGTAGATATTGTGCTCCTGGTGGGAGGCTTTGATTGGTAATTTTATTTTATTCTTCTAGTCTGATTTCCTAAGAGAAGATAATGTTAATTCTGACATGTTTTCTGTTGCTAAGTATTAGCCTCATTTCCTCATTACCTTTGCTAGGACCAAAACTCTGTGGTAGAAATAAGAACCAGAGCAACCTCTGCCCCACTGTGGGAACTGTTTCCTCAGGCTGGGAGTAGCTCAGTAGTTACTTTCCAGGGTTGTGGGACCTACCACAACAAGTCATTCCATCAAGAAATAGAGAGCAGGCGCAGCCACTACCATTCTCATTATTTTATCTCTCTCATTTGTCATTCAAACATCCCTGTCCACTTTCACCATATAAAAGCAGTTATAATTGAAATCATATGTTTTGAGGCAAGAGCGACTCTGTGATCATTTGGCTCTACCCAGGCTGTAACAAAGGCTGCCACAGATGCTTGTTCCACTTTCTTTTCTGCAGAAAGAAATAAAGAGCAGTTGCACAAATGACATGTATGTCAATCTTTAGGTCACAATACTTCCTGCAGTTGTATCCCAAGTAGGAAACATTAAGCTAAAGGCATTTAAGAATTAACAGTCTGTACCCACGACAGGAAATGGAGTTTATAAAACAGGTGGATGAAAACCAGTATTCACTTGCATCACATTAAAGCAAATCCATTTATATTTTATTTCCTATACACTGACTTGATGTGCATTTTAACAATAATCAGGCTCTGCAGTTCCTGTAGGATTTGGGATATTTGCAGGTGGGTTGGTATAGCCTGGTAGGACTTCAAAGCCGGGTTGGACGGGGCTTGGAGTAACCTGGTCTAGTGGAAGGTGTCCCTGCCCATGGCAGGGGGTGGAACTGGATGAGCTTTAAGGTCACTTTAAACTCAAACCATTCTGTGATTCCATGTTGTGATTCTATGAACTTCCATGTAAGAAACTGTCCATCACAGGAGAAAAGGGAGACACTGTCCAGAAAATTATGTACTACATCAGCCAAGGGTTTGTCTTGCTACCCTGAATCCACACATAGGTCATAGGATTCTCTTGTAATGCCATAAGTTGTACTTCAACCCAGGGAAAAGTTAGTGCCTGGTGCTCCAGGTGGTGGCAGTTCCCTGGATTTTTGTCCAACTGCTCCCTTGTATCAGTATTGCCATCCTGGGTGTAGATTAACCATGATTGAAACAACGCCCATTGGAAGCCTTAAAACCTTAACCACCAGTTTTACTTCTAAAATAAAGTAAACTGCCAAAAGTTCTGATAAAAGTGACAATTTATATTTTAAAGTAGTACGTCCAGAATTTTCCTATAGCTGTAGACAAAGGAATTCTTACCCAGATAAGTATAAGAGCACCAATAAATTTAAGGTAGCTTATGCAAGTTAGGCACTAATGAATGTCATCTTCTGTTTTGTCATGAAAAAAGATCTTTCTGCTGCTAAAGGAGACTGATTTAGATTATGAATAGCTGTAGTGATTTGCAAAAATGGCTCCAGAGAGATAGACTGAGATTCCATATACTCATGGCACTTGAGGTTTCTGCCCTTTTTGTTGAAAATTAATTTGTCCTGTGGGTTATTGGATTCTAGCTCAGCCAATGTATATTGCTCAGTCATCACAAATTTACTTAAAATTTAGTGTAGCTGAAGTTCATTCAACAAGACGAAAGTCCACACTTGAAAGCTTCTAAAAATCTTTTTAAAAAACTGGCTGCTGATGTAATTGAAAGCACTGGGGTTGAGGCGGATTTACAAAGTGTTTTGCAGGTGTCAATAAATGGTTTATTATATTAGAGAGACTCTCCAGTTTCCTCTTCGGATGGTGAAAACAAATGGGTGGTTTCTGTCCCCTTGGTGCAGGGGGCTTTTAGTGGGTTTGCCCCAGTCTTACATTCCTAAAATGAGAAATGCCTGGGAACATATACTACAGCTTCCTACACTATTTCTTTAATTTGACACATATTCTTTTTTATGGAATAGAGAGAGAAACTCTGGTTATAAAATGTCAAATGCCTCCCCTTTCATACCATTTCTTTCCTTTTTTTTTCACTTCTTTTTTCCGCCCCTTTCTTTTCTTTGTGTGCCTTTGATGTATGAGTAGAAATTTCATTTGTATTCTCGGAATCCCCATCTGAGTTTTCACTCTCACTTCTTAGGATTAAACATTGCCTTTGCTTGTAAATTTGATGTCCCAAATAGGTTAAGGTTAAAAAAAAAAATTCTAGTTCTGTTCAAATCAGCTTCTTGTTTAAATTAAAAGGCTGTAACTAATTTGATTGATGGGTCCAAGTCATTTGTTTGCCCCACTTGGTGAATCTGTGGAATAGGGACTGGGGGTAAAGGTTTTCAGACACAAAACCATACAGAGGTAACTGGGGTGCAACACCCACGTGGGCAAGGATGTAAAGAGGGTGATTAAAGAATAATCAGATATTATACACTCCCAGCAAAGTGGTTTTTCATTAACTATAAAGATAAAAATCTTCTCAATGAGGAATAACTCTCCTTATTTAAAGCTTTATCAAAAACAGTTTTATGTCTCTTTTAAATGATGGGGATTTTAAAAAAGAAAAATATAAAGGCAACTGAAACTGGTGGCACATGGGAAGAGCTCATTTTGTGCACAACCCCCATGGGTGGTTCCCAAGCAGTAAATCTATAAACACTTTGTTTGTGTTCTTTCTACCAGGAATTGTGAATTAAAAAAGACAAACAAGGATTTAAAATTCGGTTTAAATTTAATAATAAAACCACTTCATACACATCTCATTAAAATATGAGGAAATGGGAATAAAAATCTTCACAGTCCAAATCTCTCAGGTAGTTCAGGTGGCTACTTTTTATATTTCTTCTTTTTTCCCCTGGCTCTAGTGATAGATCTGAACACAAGTGATCAAGTTTAAGCTCTGAGACTCTCATCTCTTTGCTTGATACACAAGGCTTATACAATTGCAGGAAATGAAATACAGTGAGATAACCAAATCATGACACAATGGACTGGAAATTTTAGATTAATAAACCTCTTTCAGAAGAGAACTAAATAACTTTTACAGTTTTATCTGTGGCTATTTGTTTCTTTGAAGATTTATGGTCCTTGCAACAGATATGCATCTTATCCTTCACTCTTCAGATTAAAGGCAGATGATTTTAAACAGGCTCCTGACTGGCATGAGCTGGAATTGCAGATGATTTTCCCTTAAAAAAATGCTAAAAGTGAACTTGCAAGTCAAATGAGAATATCATTGCATATGTCAGAGAGGGCTGAGGATAAAATCTACATGCAGCTAAACAAGATCTAATTCTTATTATCGCAAGCAGGGATCCTTAGGCAGAGCTTTACCAGCCATGTGCAAACCCTTAACGAGGAATTACAACTTTTCCTGCTGCTGCTGCTGCTTTAATTGATTGATGCTAAAAGTTTAGAAACTCAAATCTAAGGCGCTCTCACAAAGCTCCTTTAACCAAGCCTTCCCTTTGAAAGCGGGCTCCTCAATTGGAACTGGCAGCCCACATTTTTAGGTTTCAAGCAGCTCTGTCATTCTAGGAGGAATGTGTCTGCCACTTCACACGATAGCCTGGGCTGAAAGACATGTACTTTGAATCAGAGAATCAATAGAACACTTAATGGACAATTAGGAGAACAGCTGTAGGACTGTCAAAGGCCCATCTGTACAGGGCTCCCAGAGCCTGGGCTGGACAGCGAGCTCAGCTCAGCGCCCCGGGGCACAGCCCGGCCCCCTCCCACCCACAGCTCCTGCTGATAAAGTATTCCTGTTTCATTACAAATTTTAACACGTGTAGAAAATTATGGAAATTGCTCGGGCCATTTGTCAACTTATATCATGTGAATTGATCAATAAATTTCGCCACTTTGTTGTTAATGTAGATAAATTTTGGCATTTAATTAAGCCACAGCGAAAACGCGGCCACTTTTAATTTCGGCAGATGCTGCCTTTTCATCTGTAATACAGGGGTACATTGGCAAATACAATCCAGCTAAATATTTATAGACAACATGACAATTCCTAAAAGAGTTATCATCAGTGATCTTGGTTCTGAAGCAATTAGCATTGTTTGAAAGAGCTCGTGTGGAAAGCTGGAATAAATTCTGAGCAGCAGATGAAGTTCTGGCTATGCAGGTACATTGAATATATAAAGCAAATAAATCTATATGTTATAAACACTTATGCCCACACTGATTATTATGGGAATACTGTTCTACAGTATATATGGGTATAAACATGGAAGTGTATGTGCACAAACATGGAAATATATGTGCACAAACACAGAAATTCTGACAAGCCAAGGTACAAATTCCCACATCCATAAATATTTGTGCTCTCCGTATAACATGTTTACAGATATCTCTGAATTAGACTTGTATAGTGATATTATCTTTTTAGCAAAAATATAATGAGAGAGACTGAGCTCAGGAAGTCACATCACAGAAGGAAACATCTCACATATAAACACTTTATGTAGGAGCACTAAGAGTTGACAAAAGCATTGCCATTCATAACAATAAACATATTTAACTTTTTAAAATAACAACTAAATTTCTAAACCACGACAATCAGGGATCAGCCTTCAAACTTCCAGATATTTTTTAAGCACACACAGGTTTGGCCAGACAATAAGCAACATAAATGAACATTTTAGGCTTTCTATATGGCCTCAGGGAGCCCGGGATGAAATCCTGCCTCTGACAGCCAGAGGCCCCAGACACAGCACTCAGCAGCAAGACTTGACATGATGAACTGCTGAGGCTCATCTGAGTGGGGAGGGGGAGTGGGCCTGGTGCTGATATTTCCAGTGCCCCTGGGGTAGGAAAAGCCTTGAAGTCCCATTGCTGGTTCTGCTATAATCCCCCTGATCGAGCAGGCTCCCGCCCTGACCTGCAGTTTTTTGCTACAGAACTTGTTTATCATTTAGAGGACACTGGTGCTGCAGCAGGAACTCGTGTAGGGAGAAGCCAGGGAACGGGGAAATCAGTGGTGCTCACACTCTCTGATCCTCATGAAGGACAGTTCAGCATCTTTCCACACTGCCACAATCCCATATTCCAGCACCAGGCAGAAGGCAGACATCCAGCACCCCTGTAGGTAAAATTCCTTTTGTTTGATTCCATTGTGGATTTCTCTGGTTTCGCTGCTGAGTAAAATCATCCAACTTGACAAAAAGAAAAAATAAAGAGTGCACTCAGACACACCAATCATTTTTAAAGTGGAGTCTCTGGGTTTGTGGATTTGTCACCACTGCGGCGTGTTTTATTTTCAGGTTTTCAGAGAAACTGGTCAGCAGATTTCCTGAAGTTGTTGGGGAGTGCAGGGCAGAAGACTGGAATACTGTTCAGACAGACTAACTGGCTTTTAGCCAAGGATTTGCAATTCACAGAGACAGAACAGGGAATCCAAATGCAGTAACTGTGTGGTATTTGAACCACAGGGAAATCTGGACAGGACAGAATATACTCCATAAATATAGAACATTCTAACCAAATCTTGAGTCATTGAAATTATCTCATTGGCCTTTCCTCTCAAAGAGAAAGCTTTGTCTCAGCTTACCAAGGCTTTTTTTGCATTTCACAGCATTGCATTTACTCTTCCTGGACTGGATCAACATGAGTTCATCAGTGTATGCCCTGGATTCCTGTTCCTGATGGTACCACGATGCAGGATCTCCTCTTGCTGAGGAGCAGGTTTCACATCCAGGCTCTCAGTGCAGAGAGATGGGCTCTCTGTGCCCAGCCTGCCTGCACAGAGATGGGCTCTCCCCAAACCTCCAAAGAGCCTGTGCATAGGTACCTATGAGCACTCACCCGTACACCAGGAGGAGATCCAGAGGGATGGTGATGGGTCTCTGCAGCTTCATCCCACAAGTTGTAACTTGTCCATGACCTGATGTGGAGAGAGGCCTGTTGAGATCGTCTGTGTGAGGTAATTTTTTATCTTTTCCTGTGGCCCACGCATTTAATGACAAACTTTTTTCTGTTGAAATTAGAAGAAATTTGGACAAAAAGCAAACTTAAAGGTCTGAAAAATTCTCCCTGTCATCTGCTGCAGTTCAATGTCACGTGCACCTGTAGTGGGTCAATGGTGACCCCCAGTGCTGAGCTGTTGTGACATTCACGCTCTCTCCCCATTTCTGCAGAGCATGAAAGGACCCATCCCAACTCCTGGCACAGCACCAAGCCCCTGAATACCAACCTGGCAACCACAGATCCATCATGGAAGTTGGCCTTGTTGTAGTGTCTTCATGGGTGAGGTGAAAAATGCTTGGCAGTTTGAGGCAGCAGTGCTTGTTTCTGATGGAATTATGTGGAATATTTATTAAGTTCTTCACGGTAAAGACCTAACCTCTGGATAGGAGGGGATCACACCGCAAAGAGCAACAAAAAAGTCTATTAAACAATCTTCGTTTTTTAAAAAATCTCAATAACAATGACCCTCATTTGTCTATTTCACCAGTGGAACATTTTTGTGGGAGATCCCTATTTATCTGATTTATTAGAAATGCTCCATTGAGACAGAAAGCATTTTTCTAATAAACCTAGAGGTTAGCACCATTGTTTGCAGTACAGCTGACCCTTGGATTTGCTGTAAAACCAGAATCATTAGAAATGCTCCATGGGTTATATTGGAGCATTTCTAATGAAACAGAGGGTCAGCTCTATTGAAATAATGTAAAATGTCCAGATTCATGAGAAAAACTCCATTGAAATGCACAGAGCGTTTCTAATAAATCCAGATTTTAGTGGAGCTCAACCCTGAATCCATTAAAACCTTATGAAAAAATAGTTCCTGAGCATGCACCTGAAGGACTTTTTTTCTGTGTTAATCTCTCATTTATTTTAAAATGTGTTGTAAAAATAGCAAAAGGCATCAGTGAAAATTTGTTATTTAAAGTCTGCCATTCCCTCTCCTTACACACGAGCAGAGCCACTGCTGGCACCAGGACACAGCCCTGGAAACCCAGAACCTCAAGCAGCTTCCAGGAAAAGGGACAAGGAATAACAGACAACCCTGGGTTTACTGTAGTCTGTCCCACATTAGGCACATTCCAAGTGGGAATTTCTAAGCTAACGCTTTATTATTGCACCTCTTACCTTCCACCTGCTTTACAGGTACAGCACAGTATGTACCAGCCAGGTACAACTCTGGGGAAGAGTTTGGAGAAGGGTTTGGATCAGTGATCTTCTGACAATCCCCTGCCCTGAGGTAACACATCCCAAAAACTCTGAAATCAAAGGCCACAGGGATGACTGGATTTATGGGCTCAGTCAGTAGACCCTGAGTGAATGGGTTCCTAAACCTGCTGCAGGAGGTGAAAGAGCTGGATTGCTCAGGCCAGGATTGATCAGAGCCATGTTATGTTGGGCTGTTTCTGGCTGATGATTATGATGATTGTCTGAAGGCAGGGTAGAGGAAACACCTGGAGGTTTGGACATCACTCTGTAAGAGAGGCAGCAGCGTTTGAACTGTAAAACTCTCCCAGCAGCACCATGAGTGGGAACTGCACCGAGTCCTGAGCACTCGGGGGACCTGGGGACATGGGTGGGCTTGGCAGTGCTGGGGGAATGGTTGGACTCGATGGTCTTGAAGTGCCTTTCCAACCTGAAAGATTCCATGATTCTAATCCATGGAGCTCTGTAGCCCAGGTCCCAGCTTCAAAGCCATTGTAAGACATTATAAAAGCTTCTTTTTAGCTCGAGGGCACTGAAAACCAGCAAACCAGTTTCGGACAAAGGAGAACCTCCTCTGTGCTGTGTGACCTGACCCTCCCATCCTGCACATCCCAGGGGCTGCCACAGCAGGGGGGTGTGAGCAGGGCTGCAAAGCCCTCAAGCACCTTCCCCCTTTTGCAGCTTTACAGCCAACCTTAAATGTGTTTCAGAAGTTTGCTTTAAATTAGGCATGGAAAGACAATACATCCACCACATCCCCTTACAAGGCTGTTCAAGGAACTGGGCTTGTGTGTGTCGTAGGGTTTTATAGCACCATTCTGTCTCCAGGTCGCCCTGCTTTCAGCAAACAGCAGAGGAGCTGGCTCACCTCAGTTCTGTTTATTTTATGAATGCACACACTCAGCTTGTCAGTTTATGGTGCTGCTCCTTTTGCTGCTTTGTACCCACCCACACACATAGATATAAAATGTATATGAAAAGTATATTATTATAATTCTATCTCAACAGATTTAATTCTTAAATGCTACATATACTTGTTTAATCTCTCATTTTAGAAGTAGGAAAGGTTAGATTATAACATCAGGTTAGCTCTCTTTGAAGCAGGTAATAATTAAGTTGATTCACTGTTGCAATTACTGTCAAATCCCCCTTAATTACCACGGATTTTATAGCAGCTTCATTATACGTCTGCTGTAATGCATTGTGGCCCAAAGGAGAAGTGTTGCAGGAAATTCTGCATAGCATGTATAATTCTCACCTGCAGTTAAAGCTTCTAGTGAAAGCCTCTGCACTAAATTTATCTTTTTTTGACACTTTCCCCCCTATTATTTAAGGTAGTTGAGCTGGAGTAACACCACTAAAATATACCCCTAACTTCCTACGTGAAAATTGATCTCTTCAGAGGTATTAGGGATAAAAATGGAGAAATTATAAAATTAGCAGCAACTGATTTTTGGGAAACTGCTCGGCAACAATGAAGATCGCTTCTGGTCTGGTGTCACAGAGAGAGAAAACTTCTGCCCCATCCCGTGAGTCGTGTACCCCTGAACAACCTCTCCTCACAATGGGAGAAATCCCATTGAACACAGTTTTTAAGGCAGCAAGAATTTGCTGGAGCACTCTGCTATCCATGAATATTTTCATCCATTGTTCCTTTTACATTTTATAAACTGAATTTTCAAAGCAACTCTCCTTTTGAACTGACCTTCCCACTAACTTCTGGAACAACACAGCCTCATGAAACTGCTGCTTTATGGCTCACGTGTCACTGCTTGTTTCCATTGGAAAAATCTTTACAAATCAGGGGCTGTAAATTGAGCCTGCAACAGTTCAAAACAGATAACTGAATAATGTGTCCCATGGATTCTCTTGCAACGAAGGAATTTACTCCCCAGCATACATTAGATGCAGAAAGGGCTCCAGTGTCAGTGACACTATTGGCAGCTGTGTTAACAGTGAAGGAGCTGGCTTTGTACAGCAGCACAGTTATTAAATTTCTCCAGAGACCATGACTCATTAATCAAATATTCATACATCTCTGTAAATACACACTGAACAGAGAATACCCTCAGAGCTGAGCATCCCAGCACAAGTGCTCTTTCATGTGCCTCTGACAGAGCCCTGAGAACATGCGGTCATGTTTTGCATTTCTAATGCCGTGTGTGCTCCGGAGCACCCTGATCCCTAAAAACAGAACACAAATGATCTTACTGATCCCAAGTGTTACACAGGCACAATTAAAATTGCTTCACTATGGCTTCATACCATCTTTTTAAAAGTGAGGACAGTGAATCGATTCTTCTGTTCTTTGTTTACCATCAGACAAGTAACTTTTTCCCATACGGATGGAGAAACCCAAGGCCATGCTCCTATTAACACAAGAATTTGTATTAGCATGGAAACAACAAACCGATGGTTGGACTGTGAAGGCCAAAAAACTTGATATATTTGCAAAGACATGAGCTTGGATTTAAAAAATGCTGTATTTTGTGTTCCCTCACTGCCATGCAAAGGCACATTTCACCTGCTCCAGGGCAGGCACAGACGCAGCTGAAGTTTCAGCCTTGGTGAGGTTGAGATCACATTTCAGAGCTGAAGCATCTCTGTGATCAGCTGAAGCTCTTCCCCATAAGCCTTTGAAACAATTCAGTTTTCTGTTGGAATTCCCCATCCTAATTCCTGTCCAGGACTTTGGTTTTGACTGTTGCAAGTTCTGATTTACTCTCCTGATTCAGGCTTGCTGTGGTTGAAACAGTCAGATGCCTTCATAAAGGTTTTTTTGTAAATGGGGATGATCATATTGGTGAATGTAGGTTTTTAAAGTTCTGAACTGTTGTGCTGCTGTTCAAGGGAACAAGGGAATGGAAGGGAACAACCTGAATCTTCAAGTCCAACTCATGGAAAGCATGGCCAGCACAGAATCCCAAACGATTTTGGTAAGAGCAGGAAAGAGGTGAATCTCAGATTATATTCCTTTATAGTTTTTATAGGCTGGGACATAGAATTCACCTCTGGAACCAATTCCTAATTGCAGATTTTGAAGGGAAATTTGCATAAAATCCTTATGGCCCAGTTTAAGGATTGAACTCTGATCCAAAAATACTTCCTTTTTTAGTTCCCTTCCTAATAAATACAGATGCTCTCACTTAAGCACCTCCACAGTTCCTATCACATTCATTTCAGTGCATTTTAATTTTCTTTAACAAGGCTTGACATTTACATTTTAGAAAGAAAATCCTCTCCTATATTTAATTAGGGCACTGATTGAGACAGGATGGCAATAAACCTCCTGCACTTCTGTGCAAGACAGAACCCCCACCTTGCTGCAGGAGCCAGCACGTGCCGAAAAAGCTGGTCTGGGTATCTGCTGTGTGTAAACAGCAAGAGGCTGTACTTGCAATCCCCTTTGCCTCCTGTCCTCTCAATCCTGGGCATCCTACAAGTGATCCCACTCCCCTGCATGACCTTATCCACTGACCCAGCAAGATGCTGGATGTGGATAATACCTAAAACATTGACTTTAACAATGTTCCCTTGGGGCACAGGGATTCACCAGGAGGATCAGAGTGTAGGAAAGCAGGAGATGGAAAGTAAGAATAATGTGTGAATGCTAAGCAGAGCTCACAAAGCCCTGGCTGTAACACAGCCTAAACACCCACCAGAGCTGGGTGAAAACAGCAAACATTTATTTGAGCATCTTCTTGCATAAATAAAACCCTGCTGATTTGCTTTGATGGCATTTACGAGCACATTTATTCATAAACATTAGAGTGAGCAAGTTTTTATTTGCAGGAGTGTTCATGGAAAACAAAAGCCTCGTGAATTCTGGTGTGAATAAATACCAGAGAGCTCTCACTCGAGCGGGGCTCCTGCAGTCATTAAGTAAAGCTCTTTTTACTATTCACACCGTGGATCCAAACAATTACAGCTGCCCGTGAACTGCTTACAAACAGGGAAGGGAACTGTTTGTAGAGCTCAGCTCATCCAATCAGGCAGCAGAACCATCTCATGGAGATACCAAATCACAGGGCCAAACCATGAGGGCCTGATCCTGACTCCCTCAAATGCCTCTTTTCATGTTTCTGTCAAGGCAAATAAGACATCAACATTTTAAGATCCCTTTATATAATGCTGGCACAGCCTAACCAAGCTGCTGGGAGGCTGTAACACCTTGGTGCTGCCAGAGGCTCCAGCCACGGGGATCTCGTAAGGAGCGCTGGGCTGAAATCCTGCTCAGTGTTGTACCCGACTGTGCTCCATGGCCTCCCACGCAGGCCTAGGGAAATGCATCCCATAGGAATCAGCTGAGGGTGCTAAAGGGCCACGAAGTAACCTGGCACGTTTGCCCTCTTGGAGGCTCCTGTGGCAGAAGGAGAGCTGGTACTTCGGCCTCCTCCAAACAACCCCTCACCTTGGATGGAATCGTTGCACAAACAGAACCCAGGATGGGCTGGATTTCAAACCTGCTGTTTGTGCTCATTTGTGGCATTATTGACCTTTCATAACTCACTGATGGTCGCTTTTCATCCCATCATTCCCTTTAAGAGATTGTCAATAACTCTGGAAATAAATCAGGTCTCTGGAGTGAGGCCATTTTCCTACTGTAATTAAAGGAGAACAGGAGATCCCTTCCATGCCTTCCCACACACCCTGTTGTGTCCTCTGGCTGCATTGGGCACAACTGAACTGCTCTGGGTTTGGAGGGGTGATTTAAAGAAAAAAAAACTAAAAAGACAGTAACAAATCAGGGTGGGCTCAGTTTTCCAGCTTTGCTGAAGCACAGGCAACCGGAGAGAAGGAAAATAAGTCTTTAAAGAGGGGCATCACAACACCCCCCCCCCCCCGGATGGGGCTTGGAGCCACTTGGTCTCATGGAAGGTGGTCCTGCCCTGCAGGGGGTGGAACAAGATGAGCTTTAAGGTCCCTTCCAACCCAAACCAGTCTCACTCTGTGATTCTGTGAAATAAGCACTTCTGCTGGTACCAGGCTCTGTTTCTCTCCAAGGTCAGCTGTCTCCACCAACATCAGTAAATAAATCCCTCTCCTAAATGGCCGTTCTAGAAATTTCCATTTCATGAGTCAGCATGGGGCAAAACCAGCCTTTCAGTCTCTCCTTTCCCAAGAGCCACCCCTTGTGCCCCATGGAGTCAGAGCAGTGCACTGGGCTTCTCCCCCAGCCTCCAGCCCAGTCTCAGACTCCGTGTTGGAAAATCATCAGGAATGAGCTGCTGCCTTTGGTGAGGGTTCACAGGGTCTCTCTTTTTAAAGAGTTTGGCTGGAGATGGGAGTGGCTGCAGAGCCAACGGGACAGGGAGGTGGTGGCAGGTTTTTCCCCACAGAGAAGCTGCAGAGCCAGGTCACACGTGGAAAGGTCCTTCACCCTACACCACGAGGGCAACCTGAGCTCCCAGGACAGACACCACCACCCTCCCTGTCAGCTCTGGAAGTGTGAGGGGGTTTGGGCACTGCTCAGGTAGAGCCAAGGCAAAATGAACCCTGAGGTCTCTCCTTAGTTTGAAAAATGAGGCCAATACCCTTGCTAGATGTCCCAGGTAGTTATTGAGAGTCCTGAGGTTGTGTCAAGCTGTGTGTTTGATACAATAAGCACACAAAGAAATGCTCCTTCTAAGGAAAAAGGCAGAAAAGAATAAAAGAAAAGGTTGTTGGGTGATGAAAAGCTCAGACTTTGCATCTCCCACCCTGGTTCCAACAGGCAGGTGAGTAATCAGCCCATGATTTGTGGAAGTCCTTTAAGAAAAGAGGCCACTGCTGGGTGTGTGAGTAACTAATGCTCATTTGGTTTGTGTTTGAAGGCAGCAGCAGCAACAGTGATGACACAAATTAATTGCTTGGTTTTCAGGAGCTAATGCAGACGAGGTAAAGAGAATTACTCCACGATTAACATAGTTTCCAATTAAAGTCCCCTGTAGTTACCCAAAAACATTAATTTCTAGTAACTTGGCAATTTAACTTCTGTCACCACTATACACAAGTGTACCAGGGCATCTTGTGGGCTTGTCTGTACTTCACCTCTGCACAAAAATCATGAAGAAAACCCCTGAAAATAGCCATTAATTTTTAACAATTATTTGTAGCAGGCCTCAAATAAAACCCACTGTGTTTTTTATCCTTCGTGGTAAACGAAAGGATTTGCTTTATTTTTGATTTAAATTTAGATTTAAATTTAATAAGATTTAAGAATTTAAAAATAAGATTTAAATTTAAATTTAAATTAAAGGACCAAAACCCAGCTGCTGTTCTAGCACTGCTATTTTTCTTGTCCCTAGTCAAAAAGGGGGAAAAAAATTCCACTATTTAAATAAGTTCAGCAAAGGTATTTCAACCCTTACATTTCTTTATCAAGTTGCCAAAAGCCTGGGACAATTGAAACCTCTTACTTCACCCTTCCAGGGAAGTTTGCTGTTGGGACAGAAGAACTACATTTCTCTTTTTAACAATTCCATATTACAGCTTTTATACATCTATTTGAGCGTTTTCATTATAATTCCAGACCCAAGGTCATTCCTGCAGACATTAGGTGGGTCTGTGCATGTGGGATTATTTTAAGGTACCTGAATTCAAGTGGAGTTGTGGAAGAAGGGAAATTCCTCCTTCAGTTCCCGTCTGAGCTAAAGGTCCTGTTCTGCAGTGGGATGGGTGGTCCACGAGGTACCTGGAAGTGCACAGCACACAGAGAGGTACAAAGGTTCCTGGATATGGAACATTCTCTCCAACTCCTCTCCCCCTCAGTGCACATCCATTACATATTTGTAAACTGCAGTGCTTCCCTCCCTCCCTCCCTCTTCAGCTGTACAGTAACAGAGCTCTGAGTTAAATCTTCCTTAAATCCATCCCTGCAGGCTCCTGATGGTTCTCCCTCTTCTTCTGTGCACTCTAATCATTTAATGCCTTCCTGGTGGAAAGGGAAGCAGAAAGGAGAGCATCAGTGACACCAGATTACACCAATTATCCCCCCCTGCTCTGTGACAGAAGCTTTTAATGATGCAGCATACGATTGCTTTGCTTTTTTAAAATGTGAAAGCAAAGTACAACTTCATGTCTAATTTCCTGGCCACTGTCACCCAAAGGAACCACTCAGAGGGTTTGCATTGTTTTTGCTAAAGCTACATTACCTTGTGCTCCACTAACCAGGAATTTCCTCTTTTTAGTTCTCACTGACATTCACAAGTCTCCTCATTTTGACATCTAAATTCCATAAATACGTTGTTTACTCCCTCTTCTGGGCTATTAATGAAAAATATTAAGATCAAGCCAGACATCCTCACACACAGCTTAGAAAAAGTAATATTATTCTAATTATTAGTAGGATTCAGCAGTGCAGAGGTTACTAATTTAGACAAATGTTATGTGGGTTTTTTTTAATCTTGAAAACAAGTGAACACAATCTCATTTTGGCTTTTTGGAGTATTAATTAACACTGCTAATGCACACACAGATACAGACCTGATTTAGTTCTGCCTGAAATCATAAAAGGTGCTTTAATGAACACATGTGATGCTTATTATTTGAATCAGCAACACTTGTGCCTCTGTGCCTGAACAGCACTTAGAACAGGTAACATTTGGTTTACAACACAACAATAAAATCTGCCTTTATTGCAAATAAACAGAGTATTCACACCTTACAATATTGTTTTAGATGCAGGATTATACTCACTCTTAGAGGATCTAATATTAATATAAAAGGCACATGCACTTCATGTTTCCACACCTTTTTTATTTCCTAAGCAGCGTTAATATGTCTCTTAAATATTGCATTTACTTTGTTAAAACATTAAACTATTTCTGTACATTTGTTTGCAATCTGAGAACACACACCATCAAGTAATCATTTGTACAGTAACAACACGTATCAAAACAAAAAAATCATAATCACAGCCCAGAATTTCTCACATCCACCCCCCTTTGCTTTGATTTAAAAGCTGCACTAGTAGGAGAAGCCTCACCATTATGGTAGTTGAAACAGGAAACAAACACTGCTCTCCTCTAATAATTGTCTGGAGCTGCTTTGATTGGTTGCAGTTAATATTAATAGTATAACCTTTAAAAATTGTGGGGAAAGGTAATACTTTATCTTCTCTCCTCATATTAAGGCTCCAAAGCAAGCTTAATGAGAAACCATTAGAAAATCATACTGCTAAATAGTACCTTAACTCACAATTCAGCCTATATAATTATGTCAGGATTGCAGCTGACAGTGACTCCCGATCCATCAGCCTCACCTTTCCCGCATGGAGCTGCGCAGGATGCGTCAGGATGGCAGCAGGAACTCCTGCTGGGGCAACACAGGGGAGACTTGGACCCCTCCCGCAGGATACAACTGCACTTCTGCTTACAAACAGGAATAACATGGTCTCCAAACCTCTGGATATGCATCCAAAACCCACCAGGACTTGGCTGGACTGAAGGACATGAGGGCCACAGGGTGGGATTTAGGGAATAGCCAAGGTTTTTAAGAGGGGAAGTCCAGGCTCACCTCAGGACACCTCGTTCTGAGCAAAGAGTGAGCAAAACTAATCAGTACATACATTAGTAAATGACATTTTAAAGACAATTAACATATAAAACATTATCATTTTTATGAAAATAGACCAATTTGACCCTAGCTTGCCTTTCTGGGGGAGGAGGACATGTACATTTTTATCTTTTAAAAGGCAAGTGTTCTCCTGGACAGCTGCCGATAATCTCACGGAAAACGTCCTTAAAGCAAGACAAACTCCTCTGTACTAAATCTTTTTAATCTCTTCTTTTCATCCTCAGAGAAAAGGTCATTTTCTTCATGGAGTGGACTAGAAGCAAAGTCATAGTCTTTAGAATGACCCTTGACAAAAGTAAACAAGGGATATTTCTCCTTGGATGAAGATTTCAGCATCTACAATGTAAAACACAAACCCCCAAAAATGTTAATTGAAATTAAGAAATTCAGTAAGTAGTGATATTTCTCTGACGATGACTGCAAAGTAAAAAATGCATTGGTTGGTTATCTTTATTATCTCATTAAAACAGAAGCATTGCACCATCTAAACATCTTCTCCTCCTATTAGACAAACATTTACTTCCATTTCTTCTTCAGGCCTAACCCTGTATTTTGTTCCTCACAGATCACCTGTACCTGCTGTTTGACTCAGTGCAAGAAAGATAAAGATAAAAAAGAGAAAAGATAGAAGATAAAACCCTCTACAAAATAGTTAATGGCCACGAGACTCTCCTCAAGCACAGGTATGAATTCTGCAGCAACTAAGCACCTTGGGGAGGTGTTTTTATTGTAGGATCAGCACATACAATAATCAATGTTTTTATTCAAAGTTCAAACACATACCCCCATGTAAATAAGCCAGTCAGGAGCATGTGGCTCAAACCAGATTCATGACAGTCACAGGCTGAGGGAACCAGGGTGCCCAAAATCTACATTTATAAAGAAGAAAACTGAGCATGGAGAAAGCAGGTGGTGGTGAATGCTAAATACTGAAACAGACCAGCAAAACACCTTTAATAGCAGATAAAAGCCGGCCAAATACTAAAAGACAACTCAGCCTTTAAGGGTGTTTTGTCCACTGATTTATTTTTTAATTTGTTTCAATTTTTCTTACCTGCTTTAAAAAAACAGCCCAGTGCTGCAGTGACATGCAGAACTACATCACCCTACAGATACACCTGAGTGGAACTAAAAATCACTGCACATGATTTCATGAGAATAACCCATCTAAAACAAAATAAAAAACCTCCTACAAAGATCTTCAAGACTATTTATAAAATGGCAGTCAGGGATTGAGTGGATATTTAAAAAAAAAGAATTAAAAAAATTAATCAGAATAAAATCCTTCGTTTTTACTGTGATCTGAAGTTTTTTACTTTATTCTTGTCTATTTTAATTGAATTTAGCTGCTGTAATGTTTGGAAGAGTACACTCATCCCAAAGCTTCATCCCAGTGCCCCATCCAACAAGGCACCTTCAATGATGGTCCCTCCAAACAAGGGTAGAAACACACCTGTGGTTCCACTGCCTTGTCTGTGCTCAGCTTTCCATGAAACTTCCTTTTCCACAGGAAGTAACGTCTCTCCATGTGCTATGGGAGGCGATGAAACACTAAGTACAGAACATGAATTGGGCAGGGAAACGCCCAAATGAGAGCTGAGGGGACCAGGTTCAGACTCCTGGAACTGTCACCAAGGCACATCTCACCAGAGAGCACAGAGAATCTGAAACTCTGAAGAACGTGCAGAAATCGTCACAGTGGTATCTAAAGAAGTTTATTGATAAACATGAATATTTTTAGTTCTCCAGTGTTAGACTGTCACTGTTGTCGCCACAACAATTAATTCTGAACTGAATCCTCCATCAGTCCAGTTCCTGGGAAAACCTCTCATTTGTGCTAAGAACCTGAGCAGATGCAGCTGTATAACAATCCCAAGAAATTATTCACTTCTACTTCTTTAAATCTATTTTCTACCTCTCTGGGTAAGAACCAAAGAAACAACTTCAGCATAATTCAATACCTACTGAAGATTATAAACACTATTAAGTTTAAAAAAATGCCTTTTTGGCTCTAGTACTAATACCAGTTAATGGGACATTCCAAATGCTGTACAAACATTAATTCCTTGTGCTGCTGTGATAACTGCTGTGATTGATATTGTGCCCATCTTCTGCTGCTGCATCCTTTTCATAGACTAGTTTTAAAATCACCACAGTTTTTTGCTGCCGCAGCTCAGAAAACGAATGATGCTGCATTTCAATCCCTCACACAGTGTAATAATCAAGGAGGAAAAAAGTTAATTACATTTGGACTTAAATTAAGCTATACCAGTGTTTTTCCAGGATCAGACAGGTTTGATGGGTGATCCCTGCTCCACAGACCTCAAACTATGTTTCCAAACTGCCTTTAAATGCCATCAGAAACAGCACTTGAGCTAACCAAGAATAATACACTACTTGGGCTGGATCAAATACTGCCATTTCCAACCCAATCCCTCCCGAGGAACGGGCTGCCTCCTCACATCCCTCCCGGGCCGGGGCATCCCTCCTCGGCAGGGCTGGCTCGGGAACATTCCCACTTCACGAGTGCCACCTCGTGGGCCCCTCCTGCCGCGGTTCCAGCAGCAGCTCCCATGGAAACCCCCAGCTCTGCCCAGCTTTTACATGTGATAAAATCAGAGGGAATGAAAAACAATCCACATTTCTGG